CACACCCACACATACACACAAACATATGTCTTCTCTGTCTCACGCTCTCTTCTATCTCACACACACATGCTATCTCTGTTCTATGTAGACAAATCCAATATCGTGTGTGTTTGCCTTGTTCCCCTTTGTTTCACGTTTGTCTCCTTTATCACTATCTCCATTTCAATGTGTGGGTTTGAGTACTACTGAGTGTTTAGTGAACAGAAAAACACACACTCACATGTCGCTCAGTGTGTGTGTGATGATCGCTACTCCATCATTAAGCATCTCACTATCTCTGAAGGTCAATTCTGTTAATGCAGCAATTGACACACACACACAGTGATGATCCACTCAGCACTTACAGAAGGACTTCAGAGCAGAGTACGGTGGCCCTAGAGGCTCAAAATCAACTTAAAAGGGAGATATGAGAAACCTCAAAGCTTAGTGCTTTTCCCTCTTTCTCTTTTACATATTATTTCTTCCTTATCCATCTCCCCATGTGTCTCCTAATTGTCCTCCGTCTTTTTGTATAATGATTCCTTCTCTCCTATATTAATTTTTCTCCCGAACCATCTCCTAATCTTTCTCTTCTTCCTTTCCCTGCCTCCTTCCAGTACTTCTTTAAATCTCGTTCCCTTTTTGCTTTCTTTAAATCTCTCCTTTTTTTTTTACTTCCAATCTCTCTCCCCCACTTGTAATCTCCTCTTGCTTCCATGTCTTTCCTCCCTCTCTCTCCCCCCTCCTTATTAATATTGCCGAGTCATTCTGCAGCGCGGCGCCTCAGACAGAGCTTCAGAGAAAGCTGCACAGACGGCGATGAAAAGGAAAAGCTCAGCAGTCCTCGGCCCTATCCTCCTCTTCCTCTCCCACTCCTCATCTCCTCAGTTCATTACCACGCTTCTTCTTCCTCCAACGCACAAGCAATTTGTCCGTCCCCCACACATTCACTACCACTTCTTTCTCTGCCTTCTCCTTCCTCCCTTCTTTCTGTGATTCTTTAAGCTAGCAGACAAATTAAACCGTGAATGAGTCAGGGAAGGATGGAAGAAATAAATTAAGGCAGGCAGGAAGGAATGGTAAATGAAAAAGAGACGGTGAAAGGATATAGGAAGAAGGAAAGGGTTGTAAAGTAACACCTGAAAGAGGGAAGGAAAGGATGGAAGGAAGAGAGGAAGGAAAGAAAATGACAAAGGAAGGAGGAGAGAAAGGAAGGAAAGGTCATGAAGAAAAGTAACAAGGAAAGGGAAGGACAATAAATATCAAGTCTTTCCTGACTTAGATTTGCGCCTAAAAATAATTTTTGCGTTTTTTTTGCATTTCAAATGTGAAAGAAATGCCATTTAAAAAAAATAAAAAAATGAATGACTGTTTATGCACGAAATGTGAAATCGTTATTGAACAAGTAGTAAAAAGGTCTCTTTAAAATGACATCACATATAGTGTAGGGAAGTCAGACCATATTAGCTTCAGAGATCCACTCTTATCTCTTTGGTTGTTGATTTGAATCGCTTCTGTTCAAAAACACACCTTCACGTGAACTTCACTCGTGTAAAATGGCATTATCGCCCTCTGGTCACGGGAAAGCAATGAGGCGTCACACACAACGACACCCCCACTAACAGAGCATCTCTTTGAAACTGATATTCATTCATCCAACACGCTGCCTTCTACTTCCTGTATTGTGCGGCACCTCCTCCCAGACGTTGAAATGATTATTAAAGCAACCACGTACATGTTAAAGTCAGACGTCGTGACTCGTGATACATTAATCTGGTTATTAGCAGTAACACAACATGTTTGAATGAGATGGAAGAGAGACGGAGGACACGGTGTGTGTGTGTGTGTGTGTGTGTGTGTGTGTGTGTGTGTGTGTGTGTGTGTGTGTGTGTGTGTGTGTGTGTGTGTGTGTGTGTGTGTGTGTGTGTGTGTGTGTGAATCAAAGTTGCATTAGCCGCTAGTTTTGTGGATTATTCATTTGGCTGCAGGGACAGAAGCTTAGGAAGGAATGATCAAACGGCTAGCAGACGGGAGTGTGTGCTGACTGCAGACACACACACGCAGACACACACACAGACAGATGAAACAGCCAATCGCTCACTTGTGTTTTAGGAATTCGCCGTCAGAGGTTAGACGAACATCCTCCTTTTTTCCTGATGCTGTTAATAACTGCGTTCATCACACACACACACACACACACACACACACACACACACACACACACACACACACACACACAC